CGCTGGCGGGAGCCGCGGTCGCCCGGGCCGAGATTGGGGGGGCAAGGCGGGCGACAGAAGGCCGATGCCTCCGTCGCCCGGCCCTCTACAGAATCCACCCCCCAAACCTCCAGGTATTTCCCTCCTTAGAGCTGGCAACCCTACATTCCCCTCAGTGCCTGTTGGTAGGCAACTAAGCTTGGTCCTGTCACCTACTTTGGCCTTTGGGAGAAAACACATTGGGGCCAATCCTGATAGGGTTGCCAACTCCAGATGGGAAATTCCTGGAGACTTGAGGGATGGAGCCTGAAGAGGGTGAGGTTTGAGGAGGGGTGGGACCTCAGACAGGTACACTGCCATAGACTCCACCCTCCAAACCAGTCAGTCTCACATAGGGAACCATTGTTGCCAATCTCCAGGTGAGGGCTGGAGAGCACTCAGTATTACAACTGTTCTGCAGAAGGGAGGGCAGAAGTCAGCTGAAGTCAAAGGGGCAGATAATGGTAGGTTGGTGGCTAGCTGGGAAGGAGATGGGGTTGCCAACTACATGCTGACAAATTCCTGGGGATTTGAGGGGTGGAGCCTGGAGAGGGTGGGGTTTGCAGAGGGGTGGGACCTCAGACAGGTAGAATGCCATAGACTTCACCCTCCAAACCAGCCATTTTGTCCTGGGTAACAATTGTTGCCAATCTCCAGGTGAGGGCTACAGATTACTCACAATTACAACTGCTCTTCAGGTAGCAGAGATCAGTTCCTCTGGAGAAAACAGTGGACTCTGTCATTATACCCTGCTGAGGTCACCACAGCAAATTGACACTGTTTGCCCAAAGCCAGAGCACTGCCCCAGAGCCTCTTTCTAGATCCCGTTGTATTGCTTTCACAACGGGCTTTACTGCTAGTTACAAGATAAGTGCTATTGCTGTACTAGGCTCTTCTGTGGTAGATAAATTAAGAAGGCTGAAATGAAATTTATACACACCCAAGCACTGGCCATTGTGGCTGAAATATAGCTATGCTGTTCAACAAGAGGATCACTTAGCACTAGAAGGGCATTTTGCAGTGTGCAGAACCTCTGATCTGTAGTCCAATGATTAAGGGCTTGATTTGGAACTCTAGAGCACATGCCAACAATATGTTGGTTGCATGGCTGTAAGCAAATCATTATTGTTGGAAAAAGCAATGTCTGGTGTACAAAGAAGAGAAGAAGACTCTGCAGGGGGCAGCAAGAAGTCAATTAAATAGGAAAGTGAGGTCAGCACCTTCTCTCCTGGTAAGTGTCATTTCTTTTCTGTCTCCAGATTGCTACTCTTAGGGCAATTTCCCCCTTCTTCTTGGAAGTGCCACACTCAGTCTTACCCTCTCTCTCAGCTAGAGATGTAGTTAGGAACATATCTCTGTCTCTCCTCTTTCCTATCAAGTATGTTGATTCCTAAATAAACCTTTATCTACTCTTTAATCAGGTTGTGCACCGTTGCTGTGTTACTTTGCCAACAATTATCACTCAACTTCAGTAGTCTTACAGGACTATAATGAGGATAACCATTGTACAAAACATTCCTTATGGTAGACATTCTACACTTGTGATAATTCAGCTGTTAACTAAATAGGTTGTCTCTCTACAAAGCAAGGCAATCTTCAATTCTGTCAGTAGGACTAGACAATCCAGGAGATTTTGAAGCGATGAGCATGGCACATTTTTATTGGCTAACATTATTCTGGCATGTTATGCATCAGTGATAGCTTCTTGGATATTTACCAAGAGATTTCAAAAAGCATCTGTAGCCATGTCAAAGAACATAAACCAGAATCTTCCAGGAAGAATATTTCCAGGAACTGCCTAAACAAATCTAAAATACGGAAGCTATGAACCTAGGCATATTTACTTGGAAGTATAAACTATTGATGCCAAGGAGACTTACTGTCTAGTAAATGTGCTTAGGATGACGATAACCAAAAGATGGGGAATGGGCTGCATTGAAAACGAACAAAAAAGGCAAACTCCTTAAAGATGCAGTAGTGATTTAATAGGTAATTCCTAACACATTTCACTGATCTTCAACAAGCGAATTTGTTGAACAGTTAGACATGTTATATTTCCTTCTGGTGAGCCATGTACAG